GTCGACGCGATTTTCAGTTCCGACGTATAAAGACGACATCCAGACGTTCGCCCCCGCAGTGAGGTTGGGCATGTGTATTGAGTCCCGCAAAGAATCTCGCCCAAGAAACGAACGCTCTGCGGAAAATGAACATCCTGTAGGTCAGGTATAGGTGTAATAGCCAATAGTTGCAATGCCAATGTTCAAAATCCCATCCCTCGGCTCTCATTTATCTGTCACCTACTGTCCCGTTCGCTCTCCATCTTCTCGCGCATTGCTCTCGATTTCTGTCTCTGTCCCTGTCGCCTTCTGCTTTTATCTCCCCGCCTCTGATTGTCGTGGCAAGGACCGCTTTCGTCTGTGGATGCACGGGATTGTCCCGAGCTTTGTTCCGGCTGTGATTGTCCAAATGTGTTAGAACCTGCTTGGCGAGGTTTGTTATGTCTGGTCCTACTTCGTTTTTTCTCTAACCACGTCGGATTCATTTCGTTGATTCACCGCTGTATCTACGTTTAGAATGGGAGGTTGGCTGTTGAGACAACCAACAAACAAGGAAGGTATTGCCATCAACAACAGAACGTTGGAAACGCATACTGCGCATCGAGTCGCAGGGAATACTGTTGTTTCGAGGTATGTATAACGACTGGTGGTTGGTTGAAACAGACGGACAAGGCAGAAGCCGCACGAGTTTGGAAGCAGCGTGGTATGCTGCAGAGTCATGAAGGCAAGCGAAACCAAGCGGCTAGCCTGTCAGCTCGGTTAACATCCTTAACAACGCCAAGCCCCACCATGAATACATTTCACAGATCGTTTTACACACGGAAGATCTCCTTCACGAGGTCGAACGTGCTGAATGACGAGTTGCCGACACGTGTTCTACCCTGGAGTTCGCGGAGAAGCCTTTGAATGTGCTAGGATTTGGCCACGCGCTCAGCCGGTTGTGCCCGTAACATTCTGTTGGACGTGCCCGCACGTTTGGCCCACCATCCATACATCCGTTCTGCATGCCACAAGAACAGCTTCCTGGCGTGATCCAATTCGCTTGGACCTCCTCGCTAGTGGTAGACCCGCTCGCGGTCGTGCCACAGTTGCTTGTGTTCCGGGGCAGCACGGACGCCGGGCGACTGGGATGTGAGTGACGACAGTAGTAACGTCTGTCTTTCGAGGCGGGAAAGGCGGAGGGTTTATATTTTTTGTGGCGCAGGCAGCTGAGGGCTCAAGCAGGCCCTTTTCTTGCGCTGTCAACCTGCTTCGCGGACGCTGGGTACAGCAGTGGAAAGCGAGGTCAGAGTGCTTGAGTTGGCCCAGGCGACAGCGCGATTTGAAAGCTGGCACACCAGGCGCGTTGTGGTTGTTTCAAGTACACAAGTACACGCTCCAAAGGGTCTGCATCGCAAGCAACCTACTCCACTACTCTCCATCTGCCCCCAGCTCAGACGCCCAGCTCAGAAGCCCCATTCCGTCCAACTCTTCGCATCTCTCTGCAAGAAGGTCACGGTGGCTTTGGGGACGATGGTCATATCCGGAATAGGTTGCCAAGAAACTACCGAACGTTGTTCTGTGATTCTCACGTGGCTTTCCATGAACAAGAAAGAGCATGCTGTGTTCGCGCGCCATTTGTTTGAGGGTTTTCTGTTTCGCAAAGCCCGCCTGATCTGCTTCGCACGGTCCCGCTATTACACTAAGCACCTGTTGCACTCCCGCCCCTTGCCGTCTGACCATCTTGCCGCACCCCGCACCCTCCTTCGCCGGGTCTGTTTCGCTATCCATGCAGGGACATATGTTACCTTGATGGGCGCCTGCCGAGCGCTCTATATTCTCAACTGGGTGCACAGATCTTACAACGAAGGTTACACGTACCAACACGACCCGCTTGTGTATGCGGCGGGGGTAGTGCAGATGGGGATGTTCCTCATGTTCCTCGTGGATTGGAGAGTCAGGTGTGTGTGAGTCCCTTCGTGGCGTGTTCTTTATTTTTTTTATTACCGTCTGTTAGATCATTGATTAGTCCGTGGGGGAGGTAGTTTTCACACACTTCACCCCCACCACCGCAACTTCCTCCAACCGGACGGCTCAACCTCTCACGCCTATCCTCAACCCATTTGCCTTCACACGCAGAGTCTCTCCTCACTTGCCCCCCGATGAGACCGGTGATATCGACATCATGGAACCATCCTCTTCTGCCCGGGAGCGGCTACTGCCCGACCAGGACACAGACACAGAGCCAAGCCGAAACCGTGAGCGCGGTTTGGACGGCGAAGTGCATGGGAGGAAGCTATCGGGTGCAGCAAATTCCGCAAGCGTGACGTCACGGCGCGGTCAAAATCAGCAAGGCGACGAAACCGTGAGGAAGATCGAGAGTGTCCTGAATCGGGAGCGTGGGCAGGAACAGCAGCCATTGCATGCTAGGAAGGCGACCGAGGACATTGGCAGCGATGAAACACGCACGGCCGCCGCCGCCGCCGCCGCTGCTGGTGGTGGTGAGATGACAGGGAGCCAAGGGGTATACCTCGTCTAGACTACGGGCTACACGTATGCAGACGGCTCCGACATACAGCGTACCGCCCACAACCCTACACGCACAAGCTTGTAGTCAGGTTGACAACGTGGAAGGCGGCACTATCTGCAGTCGATGGTGTGGCGCAGTATACGTATCACCCGCGATGAGTGCGCTGGTATTGCGAGGAGGGAGCCCAAGCGGGGCGTGCCTTCGTTGTCGAAAGAGTTTACTCCTGTTCGGTACAATGTGTACCTGAGTGTTTTTCTGTTAATTGCAATGTTTGTAGTGGTTGGTGAAAGCGTGAGGAGAATGATATTTCAAGGGAGCAGTGGCACCGAGGCCACCAGGTTTGAGTCTGGTTCGTTCGGTATGTGGAGTCGAGTTTTCGGGTGTAAATTTCAATATCCAAAGTGGTTGTCGGAAGTGAAAGGCGAACGACATTCCACGGAGCATGAACCAGTGGTACAGAAGCCGCTTCTAGAATTTGATATTTTCGGCTCGAATCTGGTACAATACTATTCGTAGCAATTTGGCGGCAGCGTTAGCACAGTGATACTTCAAGGAGCATGAACGCACAGAGACCACTACGTCGTTCCCTAAGGTGTTGTTGCGTATTTGGAGTCGAGGTTTCAGATGTAAGTTACAATACTGGCAGTGGTTGTCGGAAGCGTAATGAGGAGAACCATATTTCAAGGAGCTGAACCAGTGGCACAGAGACCACTACGTCGTTTCGCTAGAGTTTGCGGCGTTCGGTACATGGAGTTAAGGTTTTGGTACAATATGCTAATATTAAGAGTGGTGGTTATCGGAGGGGTACGGAAAACGATCTTTCAAGGAGCATAAGACATTGGCACAGAGGACGCCTCGTCGTTTCGCTAGAGGTTGTTTCGTTCGGTGTATGGAAAAAAGGTTTCGGCTGAAAACTACAGTATTCGCGGTGGTTGCCGGCGGTGTGAGGAGAATGATTTTTCAAGGAGCACGAACCAGTGACGCAGATGCCACCATGTGTTGTAAGTGAGTACTTCGATGGTTTACACCGATGAAGGATTAGATTGCGTTGATGATTTCTAGAGACCGGCGGCCTAGTGGTCAACCTCGCAAACCAATTACCACGTCGCAGGAGGTTGTATTTCGATTCTATCCGAAGCGAGGAAACATTTGAAATTTGGAGTGGTACATGTATCTGTTTACATGCTTTAATTTGAAGGTCACGAGGGAAGGTGACGGCTGACCCCTTCTCGCGACCAAAGCGTGAGGACAGCACGGCAAGAGGTGCAGACGGGGCATTGGATATACAAAATATTGCAAACAAGCTCCTGCTCTGTTACTGGTCTCATACGTGCAAAGCATACACCGAACGGTGTGTGAGACTGGCGCCAGAACAAAGGGGACAAACACACACACCACAGGGCTTAAGTTCTGTTCTTCTGAAAGCAGAGTTGGATGGCCAGTGCCAAAGTGGCCGCAAAGCGTTGCAAAAACAATTTGATGATTGGTGGGCTCTCTCTTTGGGAACTGTGTACACAATCTACAGTTCCGAGAACCAGCTCGGGTGTGAGTTCAGTTCGTCCCCCTCCAGCCAAAAGCAAATGTTGATCGGTTTCGTTTCAGACGAGATTGGGACAACTGTGCAATTCTGGAGAAGGCCCGCACCGGGGCTGTTGGGAGGAGTAATAGGCTGGTATGTTGCGTTGTGTCGGTGATACTACCGTGGGGCTCAGGGGTTAGAACATGCTCTGTCGATGTCTGTGCCGTCGTCTCATACACGAGAAGACGCTCTAACCCGTCTGGCCAAAGTCGTCCCAGCCAAGGTTAATGTTGTCAATCGATCGCCTTGGTTTTAACCCTCGCCGGATCTGCACTGAATGAGAGGGCGAGTCAAGATGTCCTGGACAAGGGGCAATGGCCCCTCCGCACGCCATAGAGAGTTTAACCGTTCGAAAATTCGGTGTCTTTTTCCGCCGCAATTGATATTTAGCTATGTACCGATCCAGCTTTCACGTCAACACCCTGACGTGAAGTATCGGGCCGGACAACCGTGGCACGCTGTCATCAGCAATTCCGTTATTGTCACGCCATCGATCAACACCATTCGCCATCTGTTTTAGCTGCGGCAATGTCCGCCCTTAACCATCAACGGGTTGATTCTTGCCACAAACACGCCTTGTCTCAGTCCACTTTCTGTTGTTGTCAGCCGAGGTTGGTCGGTTGGAACGTCAGTAACTTGACACCAGGGAGTAGTTGGGTTGACGGAAAAGGAAGGAACCTTATTGAGGGGAAACAACGCCGTCCACGAAAACTCGTCACAATTTAGTACCGTGTGCAAATCCACAGACTCATGGTCCATTGTCCGGGTTGTGAGCTCGTAGCTTGTCCGTAGCTCAAAATGAGGATATCCTCTTATGGAAAATTTCGCGTGAAAGGACGCTTCTATCGACCTTGGAAAAACGACGACTGTCGGCCTTTCGTTTCTGATATTGAGACCAATACATCGGCTAGATTTTTCATCCAATTCGGGCGCTGGCTACCACCCCTTTCCGCCATATTTGGGTTTCACGGTTGCATCCTCACACAGACCACCGGGCTTCCTCAAATGCTGTCATCCTACACTGGGGGTCGTTCTACAGACGTAAGTCCAGTGATGAATGGTAGGTCGACCAAAGTCCACATGCCCTACCGGTAGGCTTCATCATCACCACAAACCATAGGATGGGAATACTTGATCTTCTTTGTTGTGACGCTGCGCCGCTCGTCAATCGTCGTGATTTTGTCGATAGTATTTCTCCTACACCTTGTCAGGACCACCATCTGGCACCGCAGGTTTGTTTGACCAATTGACCTTCATCTACGGCTTGCCTGGCGTCAGATGCGAGCCATGATTCCTGTCTCCAACGAAGTCTCCATGTTGGTGACGGGAATGCTGGGAAACTGCACGGGATCGGCACAGACGTTCACTTCATCCTTTGGAATATATTTTTCCCACCTTTTCGGCGGCAGTGCTGACCGCCATTACCTCTCAGCCTTTTGACACCGAGACCAATACATTGGAGGGCATCCGACCCCAACTGCCGCGCCTGCTACCAATCCTGTCCCTCTGCTCTGAGGTTGACGGCGTATTCTCATACATTGCATCCCACACTCACTGGCGAGTATTGGTCGACCTACGCGAACCATGCCGTTCGCTCAATCTCCGCCAAGACTCTCCGCACACTACAGTAGCGGGGGACCCAATTTCGAGTTGCATCCTCACAACATTGCTTCGTATAATAGCGGGGATTTCGTGTGTCTCCGTGCTCCACCGGCTCTGTCCCGAGACCTCTGTGCTCCAACACACCTGGGCCGGCGCATTATCAACACGTGTTGTCACGTTCACTCGGCAAAGCATTTTGTGGAGCTTGACATTTGGCACTTTGATGTAGGGTCTACAACAAACAAACACCAACACCAACGTAATCGACGATACCCTCTTACATCCCCCATTCTGTGATAAGTATTACGGTGGTAGCTCGGGCGCCTTTCAAGTTCAGAGATCTTCCATGACATTCCTTCTGCATGACGCGGTGGGCGTTCCCGTCGCGGATTAGTGCTACGCACCCCCCATGTCTCTGTTCGGAGGGCAAACGACCGGGCGCCTACGTACGTACGTAGATATGATTCACATATCGTGCAGACCCTTGACGGTGCATGCAATGGTTCACTTCAACAAGCCATCTGGTACATGTAGTCGGTTCAACAGGGTCGGTGCAACAAAGCAGACATGCCGATACGGTACTACTTCCGGTTCAACAATGCGCACTGCTTCCAGGAGCTTCTCCTGCTCATGAACGTCACACCGGCAAACTCACATAGCTCATCTACTCCTGAGCACCCCAACCTGATCCATCTTTCGGCGACACACCAGACTCTAGTCAAGCGTGCATATCGAAGGCAGGACCGAAGGTGAGGTAAGGACTACGTTCAGCCGGGGCGCGTTCACACAATCGACCGTGTATCATGGCGAACTGTCGTGTGAGGAGACGGAGCACACAAAGCTGTGGGATGGCAGTCTTCGATAAAGTTACACCATTAGTCTAGACTAGTCAGCTTTACACCATTAGTCTAGACTATGCTGACTAGTCTTGACTAATGGTGTAACTTTACCTTACAAAACATGCGCGCAGAGCTCCTTTGCACCCACCCGGCTGGATCGCATTTTTTGGATTGGTGAGTGAGTAGAGATCTCCCCGGGTACGGACCCCTCGCCAGACGCTGCCTGAAAAGAACTTAATGGTGCTTGGGAAAGTGACCCGTCGGGTTTCGAACCCGTGCGTGAATCCTTTATCGCCGACTGGTAAACCATTAGTCAAGTCAGCTGCATGTTTTCTAATGGGTGAGCCTTTCCAACGAAAGGTATACTCTCGCCTCGTAGCCACCCGGCTGGTCACTGGGATTTACTAACGAGTGAGTAGAGATCTCCGGGGACGGACCCCTCGCCAGACGCTGCCTGAAAAGAACTAAACGGTGCTTGGGAAAATGATCAGCCGGGATTCGAACCCGTACGTGCATCCTTCAGCGCCAATTGTTCAACCATTAGAGACTAGTCAGCGCTGACTCCACCCGAATCATCGATCAGACAGGACTCTTCCGACCTTGACGAACGCTGTGAGGGCAAGTTTGGAGCTAGGGTATGTGTTTTCTCCAATCGTCACGGGTGTCTCGCTCGGGTGCGACCGCATGATCAGATCAACCTCGAACCGACCGCAGAAGCTACTGCTGCAGACTAGTCATATTGCGCCTCATCAGTGGACTGTGGAAGTAGTCAGCAGGGTCAGCAGCTTTCATCGATAACAAAATTGCCGGACCAACTGGGTGTCCCAACGATGCTTCACGTTCTCAAGAGAAAAGTGGTGAGTGGAACGTGAGCCGTCCAACGAGTGTTTGGTCGAAACCATATACAAGTGCAACGTTGCACTTGTATATGGTGTCGGCCAAACAGGCTTACGCTCCACTCACCACTCTTCTCTTGAGAACGTGAAGTATCGTTGGGACACCCAGTCGGTCCGGCAATTTTGTGATCTATGAAAGCTGCTGACCCTGCTGACTACTTTCACAGTCCGCTGATGAGGCGAAAGATGACTAATGTATGTACCTGCGGTAAGTTCAACAAAATTGTGGCTCTGAAATTATACAATGTTTGATCTGATCATCCGCGGGAATCGAGTCGGACAGTAAGAGGTGATGATTGGGGAATACACGGACCCTTCGCTCCAAAGTTTCCCCCATGGCTTTCGCCAAGGTCGGCAAAATTCTGCCTACAACGTATCATGTGCTCCATCTCCTCACACGACAGTTCGCCATGATGCACCGTCGATTGTGTGAAAGGGACCTGCGACGAGATATCCTGAACGAACAGCAGTCCTGACCTCACCTTGGGTCCTGCCTTCGATGTACACGCTTGGCTCGAGTCTGGTGTGTCATCGCAAGACGGATCAGGTTTGAGTGCTGGAGTGTGGGTGAGCTGTGCGAGTGAGCCCATATGGGGCATGCACGAGCGGAAGAAGCTGGCTCTTGGAAGCGGTGCGCATCGTTGAACCGAAAGTTGGTGCCATATCGGCAAGTCTGCCTTGTTGAACCAACCCTGTTTAACCGACTACCAGATTGCTTGTTGAAGCGAAGCATCGCACCGCGTCAAGGGTCTGCGCGACGTTTGCATCTACCGAAATATGCGTAGGGCCCGGTCTTCCGCCCTCCGAACAGTGATATTGGGGGTGTTTTGCACTCATCCGCGACGGGAACACCCCCGGTGTCCTACTGAAGGAAGAAGTCATGGAAAAACTGTGAATTGTGAAACCGCAAGCTATCATATCAAAGAATAGA